TGCAGTATGTAGTTTAACACACAAAATACTAACCTAATGTTAATATGACATTAGCAAAACTGTGCATTTATACTATGCTCAATTAATGCTCAATTACTTTGCACTAGTTTTGCAGCTCTAGTGCGACTCACTTCAATACTCTGCAATCACTGTGAAAAAAATAACTAGGTAGTGCTTCACAGGCATCTAGGTTTAAAATGTCCACATAAGCAATTGCTGAAGGCCTAATAGCATGTCATAAACTCCACTTAAGCTTTGCACTAATCTCCACCGTAGCCAATAGACAGCAACATAAAACATCAAACGATCTACAACCCAGTTCAGTTAACTGAATCAGTTGAATTAAAGCCTCTGTAAAATTTGTTTTTTAAATGTTTACTAAATTGAAGCTTTGATGCTGTACAATTCTGGTAACAGGCAATGCCAGCGGCAATAATGAGCTTGTAAGGAATCCAGATTAAACTGCTTTGATTACAATCCAAGCAGTAAACATAATGGTTTGTCAACAGTTTTGTAGTCTCTGAAATTCCCACAATGCTTTCAGCAGGAGCAGCATACCTAAATAAATGATTACTTTTTTTAAGACTTTAAGATACAAACTTGGCTAACGCTCCAGAATCAGAGCTCCCAGATCAGGCAAGGATCACATTGGCAAACACACACTTCTGATATTCTCCACCGTTAGTGGTGTTGATAATTTTGCCATGATAGCTGTAATAAGTCACTCTACACTACTTGAAAGCTTTCCCTGAGAGACAAATTTCAAAATGATTTTTAAAAACATATGTAGCCTGAATTAATGTCTACATTTGCTATTTAAACTTCCTGATGACTGGAGTAACCAGGAACTTTAAGATCCAGGAAGCTAAAGAACTTTTTTTTCTGCAGTGAAAAGTAAATAAAGCAAAATAGATTTCACTACCTCCAAAAAGATACACATCAAACATTAGCTTACTCAGGTTACTATTCAATTACTGCCCAAATTTGGAGTTTCTGGCACTGTTGAAGGAAGAAAAAGGAGCAAAGACAACAAGTCTGACCTTTCTGAATCTTGTTATCTATGGAAGAATCATTTAATTAAAAGAACTCAGGTTGTTATTGCCAGTGTCTAAAATGACGAGTGGGACAAGGAAAATGTGCAAGAGCCAGTGATGGCTGATCCACAGCAACTGTGGACAGGGAATATTCTCAATTACTTCTGTAGAAAGAGTGGACGGATTGCAGGCACCAATTTTACAATACTTTAGAAATGCAGATTTCTAATCCCTCCTCAGTTCTAGTTTATTGGGTGAACAGTAAGTGAAAGAAGTATTTTTACAGATGAGAAGTATCTTTATAGACTTTGCTTTTCTCACAGAATAAATTCTAGATGTTTATGCTGGAAGAGTTAGAGCACAACGTGTAAGCGGCTGATTTCTCTTTGTCAGATTTTCACTGCCTGCTCACATGGGTTAGGACACAGAGTTGGAAAGAAAATCAAGCTAATTCTGACTTTGAGCAAGATGGCACAAACTAGTAGAGGACCAATTAATATTTCTTTTTTATAGTGAAGAGATGAGCACCTCTCTCACCCTAAGTAATAGCACAGCATATGTAGTAATTGCCATCTGTGGATAATTTTATTGGATGGTTATGCAGCCAGCAAGGATTTTGTCTTTCCATTGTTGTCTGCATTACAATACAATTCTTGTTTTTCTCTTTATTCAGTTTTAAGAAAATTGCAAAAATAAGAACAATAACTCAATAAACTACCAACAACCGCTAACAATAAGATCAGAATAAATCAATGAAGGAAAGCTAAATTTAGCTTTTGTTTGGACAATGCAGTACAGCTGTCTTGTCTTTTGGCTCTCAAAGCGAGTCTCTGGGTAAAATATGTAGTGAGCAAAATCTAATACAGGCACAAACATATGCAGTCAGTTTTGTACGAATGAGAGCAGTATAAAAATGGAAAAACATTCATGACTAGCTACAACTATACAGACTTTATCTTTACACATAGTATGTATTATCCTGACAATTTCGGACAAAAAATCTGGAAAGAATATGAGATCATGCTTCCTAGAAGCTTCTGCTTCTGGAACAAACCAATTTTCTTATAGAAGGTAAGCATATTAAGTAAATGAAGTCAATGATATATCACAAATCTGGCACAATATATTATTTGTGGGATGAATACATTCCACAAATATGGAATTTACATAGACTCCCAGTATCAATTTAACATCTAGTTGAAAACAGACATTTTCTCACATGTCATGAACAAATTTTCCGAAGAACACGAAACAGCAGTTTATCTCAAATGGAAAATAGATTCATGTAAAGTAGGCAGCGACGGTTTTGATAAACAGTGCAAGACAAAAGTATCTTCCAACTAAGTTCAACTTCAAATCTGCTATTAGGCCTAATAGTAGGAATAAATTTCAGAAAATGTATTAAATTCTGAACACAAGTCTGACTGCTTACTGAAGGTCCTGACATTTCTCTCTCTTCATCAGAATTTTACATTGAAGTGATTTTTCTTATAACTTAAATTTTAAAATGTGCAACTCAACGTTTTAACACTGAATTAGAGTAGAAAACCAATAATAAATAGAACTTCAGATACTGTGCTCTTTTTAAAATAAATTTGAAGTAGATTAAGAAAGAATTAGGTGATAAAGCTCACTGGACAAGATACTTAGGTAACAATTAAAAAAAAGCCCTTCTAAGGAAGTCCATAAACAAGTTTAAAAAACTCACAAAGTATTACTGTTAGAGAGAAATGATGTTTGGACTGAAAAACCAGAGCATTAAACTCTATCAGTCTCTGCATATTAAGACTTCAGATAACAAAAATCAGCCACCAGAGGGAGCCCACATAATCCTGTATAAGGGACATCATCACACAGTGAGAAATTACATATATGCTGATGAGAATTTAAGACCGTAATTGTCAGAAAAAAAGATTATAAATTGTTTATAATTCACACAATAAAACAGCCACCTATAGTACTTCCTCTTAGATTCATATTTATACTTGTATCTGCAGAAATAGGAAAGTGAACTCTGCTATAAGGTACTGTAATTACAAGTACGATATACTGAAATAAACTAAAATATTTTATTATGCATAACATTTATTCTAATATTCAGTATCTTAGAATGTGTTCCACCAACTTATTCAGTACTTCAAAATAATATTGGATAGAGAATGCCTACATACTACCGAAGACTATTAAATTATTCCTTTCATCAGTACTCAGGACCAGAATCATAAAAGCAACTGACGTAAGGCTTGTTTTCTACATTTGTGCTGTACTCTGAGTCTTTATCATTCTTATACAGTGAATACTTTGAAAAGACTTCTCCTTTTCCAAAGTAACACATCACGGAAAGAATTACAGTATTTGCACCATGGGTTAAAATACCTTTCTACTAAGAAAGCACTAACTTGTGGAACAACATGTTTTGAACTAAGAAAACGCATTCCCTCCCCCACTGGATGTTTCTGTTTCATTCTCTGAATTACATGACTACAATTTAGCAATAGCAGCTTGTGTTCCCAGTCTCCTATTACTAACATTTAGATTTAGAATTTAGATTCTTTAGATAATATTTTCCCCCTGCAACAAGGTTGGTATAAATAAAACAATTTCACTCTGTAAAATAAATAAATAAATAAATAAAATTCAAAGTGCATACAAATGTTTCCACAGTAAAAATATGCTCCCACCTTAAAATACTAATTGAAAAAATGACATTTGCCACAGTAAATGCTCTTATTTGACTCAGGAGAATCCAAACGGCATTTGACGAATCTACAAAGCAGCAAATACACCACACAGCATGTGCAACTTCCCTCTCCCACCAAATTAAGAAATAAAGTTCTACTTTGCCTATGATTGTTACGTTGTCCTACAGAAAAACACACTAACAACATGCATGGTTTGAAATACGTTAGCACAGGTCTTTATAACCCAGGGAGTCATGTTCCTGAATGCAAGACAGCCAAAGCCATGACATCACCACAGCTCCTCAAACGGGCTTCAATACTGAACATTCACCTTTATCTTAACCTCAGTCCAACTGTACATGAACTCCTGAAGCACGCACTTTTTCTTTCCTATTCTTTATCTAAAAGTTACAAGACTCACGGGAAACATCTGAGAATTGTTCCACACACAGTCTTACCTCAGCCCACTGGCATATCGGCATCACAGAGTGAATATGAAACAACATTATTTCTGGTCACCATATTCAACAATTGGTAAAAATGCTCAAAATACAAACTGCTGTGCACATCCCTGCTCTGAAAAAAACTGACGATGCCGGACAGGACTCTCAGCACAACAAAACTGAATTCCTGCGCTCACACAACTAGTGACCAAATACGCAGTCTGAAAACTGAGCGGAACTCAGTGTTTCTCCTATAATGTTAGATGCACAGTTTGGAGAGATTGTCTTTATTCCCAGCTGAGAAAAGCCTTATACAACACATTGAACAAGCAATATTTTCAGAAAGTACTACTCAATCTGATACGAGGTAAAGAAACAAATCACCAAAATATAATCTATTAAAAAGCATGATTTTATAAGCTAACCAAAGAAACCAGACCAACGGTTATGAAGTTTTATAACCAACTTCACACACATCTGTTCTGAATCTATCAGTAAATTTGGATCACATTTTTGAAATAAATTTTATGCAGAGGCATACAGCACAAAGAAGTTTGTATCAAGGAACAGGGCAGTTTAAAAGCTTCCTCAAAGAAGCCTCACTGAGAGACTCAGAGCTACAAATTGCCATGCCTTATGAACATAAGCCCTACAAATGCATAGTAATGTGCTACCAAATTTCTCTGAAACATTTAACATCAAAGAGAATAAATTCTGAGAATTCAAAATATAAGAACCTTCCAGCAATAACACTCCACGAATAGAGTTTGACTTTTTGTTACGGGTGGAAATCTACAGCTTTTAAATTAACATTTCCTTCTCTGTCATATTTGATCTCTTACCTGGTCTTTCCTTGCCAGTTCCTTTTGACTCAGCAAATTTCTGTATTAAACTCTCAACTGTAGTATTTGCCATGTTATTTATAAATTCTTCATGTACCTTAAAAAAAAGCAAACACAACAAAACCCCCCACACAATGGGAGTTTTAATTAGATTATTTTAATTACTATAATTTTTTACTTTAAGTAGTGTTTAGTTTTAACACTAGCTTTAATATCATAATATTTTCTTATAAAATACAATAAAGAACTTCTAGAAATTAGCAGGCATTTTATCAAGGAAATCCCTTTATTGTTTTAGGAGTTGCAAATTTGTGTACAATACAGACACCAACGGGGAATGAAAGAATATAGCTAGATGGCAGGTACAGGATTTACTTCTACCTCTTCTATCTAAGCTACTTTTCTACATACCATTTTCTGAATTTGTCAACAACATGTTCCATACAATGTCAGGAAGACAAGATGTCCCTTAAGCCAGCACCAGTTGAGGGTGTGAACAGTTACTGCTGTATTATCACACGTCCCACCTGCTTCAGTAAAAGCACTACTGTTTTAATGTTTTTGGTCTGGCAAAAAAACAACCACATGCTGTTAATAAGTTTTTCAAGCAAGGCAGTACGTATTTGCCTTAGAAATAAATAACATGACCCTTGTGACTACCATTCATGAGCAGAAAATCTGAATACTGAAAAAAAAACCAGACTCAAACGAAGAGCACTCAAATAAACTTGTACCGCAACGCATAAGAGTGTAGATTTTTTAATAAGGATTATTAGTTAAAAAAACTTGCAACTAAAGAAAACATGCTAAAAAGCTTCTTTTAAAACCAAAGGCCTTTTGCACACAAAAACCTAGTTGTATAAAACATTTTGGAGCTCTTGACTGATACAATTTCAAGTTTTAGGCAAAGAAAATGTGTGATTGCTGATTTAGTATCTAGTGAACAAGACTTAGAAATACACTAAACATTCTTCAAATCATCAAAATCTCTAACAAAATCTCTGTTTTGTTAGTATAAAACTCAATCAATGATTGATTATTCAGCCTAGGAAGTTTTTACAGAATACTGTGAAGTTTGTGATCCCAAACTTACACATGAAACAGAAAGCCATAACGTTTTTGGTTCATGCTGAATTCAGACACAAAATAGATTTCCAGTACAATAAACAAAATCAGAGGTGATCCACTCAGTAAGTAATTTCAGAAATGCTTGAATAAGAAAATACACAGATCTCAAAATATCTCAATGGCTATTTGACATTCAAATTTCCTTCAAACAGATGAAAACTGAGTTCAGCACACATTCACGTTTCATGTATTTGGTAATACGAACCAAAATTGCTTTAAAGTATTTTAAATCCTCTGCTTTATTACTATTTATCTTCATATGGTTTAAAAGGTTACTACTGTTTTAAAGATGTGATCCACAAGGCAGTAAGGACTGTTCTGCTCAGTAGTTAAGAAAAAAATACATAGCTTAAGCCAAATAAACAAATGATAACATAAAAATTACCTCTCCTATTTGTAAATGAATATCCTTTATGGTATTTGACAACGATTCTATAATCTCTTTCATATGCAGTAGATGTGTTTCTTCAATATCTTGAAACTTCTGTAAACCAATACAAGTCATTATTGATAATAAATTTTTTCTTGAAATGTTAAGCTTTAAATTACAATAATTAAATATTCTTTATAAATTATTAAAATAATAATAATAATAATAAATTATTTTAAAAAACAACCAACTATTTTTTCAGATCATTACCACAGTTATTGTAATGTTTAACAATAGAAGGTGCGAAGTCCAAAGAATAGTAAAATAAAGTGTTTCTTTAAATATACCCTTTTGGAACCATTACCAAGCTTTTCCACTTTTTAAACTTTCAACTATCTTGGTGTTTCAAAAGATCTGACCTATTTTTACTAAAAAGAAATAGGACTGATGGTTGTTTTAAAAAAATGTATTTTCTCTGTTATTTGCATTACCAAAAAGTTTCATCTGCTTTTTCATCTGATTTCAGAGATTCTATTTCCAGATTGTTTTGCACCTCCTCGGCACCCTCATTCTCCTCCTGGTCACAACAGATATGTTTCTTATTTTTTCCTTCAGTGAAATCTAACTCCTTTGCTTCAACTTTGCTTCATTCATTTGATCTTTAAATTGACTATATGCAACCTTCTCAGTTTGTCTGCAATTTTTTCTACTGTTCCACCATATCTAGATTTCTACCTGACACCCATTTTAAAAGCACTTCAAACATTTTCTTTTCTGAGGACCTTAAAAAAGGATTTCAGGGGATTGGGGCTGTTGGTGGGCCTATAGGTCACACTTTCTTCTATCTCTCCAGTAGCAGGGAGCAATACCACGAGGACAAGGAAAACCCTTCTTATAAATACATGGCTGAGAAGCTAGAGCAATCACAAGAATCTTGTTTTGTTTTACCATGGGGCTGCTTATTCGACACCTGCCTGATGTGTGCTGATGGGTCTTACCTGTCTCAGAGGGGGAAATGGATCTTCATACAGGAGCTGGCAGTACTTGCTGAGAAGGCTTTAAACTAGCTATGAAGGTGAAGTGGATTACACCAGGCCTGCAAGAGATAAGCCTAGGGGAATGATGATGGGACTAAAGGTGAGGCAAGGGGCTCAGCTGAAGGGCATCTACACCACGCTGCTTTCTACCCTCTATCAGCATTCCTGGTCAACTGGAGAGGTCCCAGAGAACTGGAGGCTTGTCAGTGACTTTCATCCACAAGAAGAATCGTAAGGAGGATCTGAGGAACTGCAGGCCCATTAGCCTGACCTCAGAGCCAGGGAAGATTATGGAACAGATCATCTTGAGGGAGATCACAGAGGATCAGGCCTAGCCACCATGGGATCATGAAAACCAGGTCCTGCTAGACCAATCTGATCTCCTTCTATGATTGAGTGACCCATCTGGTAGATGAGGAAAAGGCTGCTGCTGTAATCTACCTAGAACTTGAATAAAGCCTTTGACACTGTCGCCCACAGTATTCTCCTGGAGAAGCTGGCAGCCTGTGGCTTGCACAGGTACACTGTCTGCTGGGTAAAGAACTGGCTGGTGGGCCAGGCGCAGAGAATGGGGGTGAACGGTGTTAAATGTAGCTGGTGACCAGTCATGAGCAGCTTTCCCCAGGAGTTGGTAATGGGGCCTGTCCTGTTCAGTATCTTTATTGATGAATGAGGGCACTGAATGCACCCTCAGTAAGTTTGCAGGTGACCGAGCTGGGAAGAAGTGTCCATCTGCCTGAGGACAGGAAGGTACAACAAGGGGATCTGGGCAGAGGACAATGGGATGAAGCTCAGCAAGACCAAGCGCTACGTCCTGCACTTGGGCACAGCAAATCCCAGCAGTGCTGTGGGCTTGAGGCAGAGTGGCTGGAAGACTGTGTAGAAGAAATGGATCTGGGGGTGCTGGTCAACACTTGGCTGAACATGAGCCAGCAGCATGCCCAGGCGGCCAACGAGGCCAGTGGCATCCTGGATTGGATCAGAAGTAGTGTTGCCAGCAGGAGCAGGGAACTCGTTGGCCTCTGCATTCAGCTCAGGTGAAGCTGCACCTCAAGTAGTGTGCTCAGTTTTGAGCCCCTCACTGCAAGAAAGACATCGAGGCCCTGCAGCGTATTCAGAGAAGGGCAACAAAGCTGGTGAGGGGTCTGGAGCACAAGTCTTATGAGGAGCAGCTGAGGGAGCTGGGATTGTTCAGTCTGGAGAAGATGAGCACCACAGGAGATCTTATTGCTATCTACAACTGCTGAGAGAGGCTGTGGCGAGGTGGGGGCTGGTCTGTTCTCCCATGTAACTAGCAATAGGACTGGAGGAAATGGCCTCAAGTTGTGCCAGAGGAGATTCAGGCTGAACATTAAGAAAAAGCTCTGAAAGAGTGGTTAGGCACTGGAATCATAGAAACATTAAGAGTGGGAAGGGGCCTTTAAAGGTCATCTACTCCAACTCCTCTGCAATGAAAAGGAACATACACAGCTAAATCGGGTAGCCCAGGGCCTTATACAGCCTTGCCTTCAAAGTCTACAAGGGACAGGGCATCAATCACATCTCCAGGCAACCTGTTCCAGTGCCTCACCACCCTCACAGTAGAAGGCATTTTCCTTCTATCCAACCTTATTCTACCCTCTTTGAGTTTGAGGCTATTTCCCCTTGCTTTCTTCACAACAGATCCTGCCAAAAAGTCTGTCCCTTTCTTTCCTATAGCTCCCTTCCAGGTACTGAAACACTGCTATCAGGTCATCTCAGAGCCTTCTAGAGTCAAGGCTGAACAGCCCCAGCTCTTTCAGCCTACCCTCATAGAAGTGTTCCATTCCTTGGCTCACTTTTGTGGCACTCCTCTGGATGTGCTCCAAAAGGCCCACATACCTCCTGTATTGAGGTAGCGGAGTGACCATCCCTGGAGATGATCAAGAAACATTCAGGTGTTGTACTGAAGGACATGGTTTAGTAGAAAATATTGGTGATAGCTGGACAGTTGGACTGGATGACCTTGAAGGTCTTTTCCAATCTTGGTGATTCTATGATTCTGTGATCTTTAACAGCCCACTCCTAGCTACAGCTCAAAAAGAAAAATGTTCAAATCCTCCCTAACAGTGAACCATAATCACCTTTTAATCTTTCTTCACTCCTGATCTCTATTCTACTGTTTTCATTCCTATTTCCCTAATTGTCTTTTCAAGCACACCCAAACTTGGAGCACCTTTAATTCCTCTCTTCTATTTTACAGGGTTCTCTGAAGATTCTCTCTTTACATTTCCTACCTCCCTGTACTCTGATTCACAAATGTAAGCATCATTCTAAACAGACAAATTATATATCTCTACCTTCTAAAAACTCGGTTTTTCTTTTGCCACACTTATATGCCTCTAGCCATCAATGAAGCAGATTGAAATAACACTTTTTTTCCAGCAGCTTCCCTTCTGGATTACAGAAAACGTGGTCATTCTCCGTAGTCCATTTTATGATGTCTCTACTTTCACTGATTGCCTAGCAAGACAAACTACACTGTTCTGCTTTCCAACCTATCCATGGCCCATGTCTATAATATCTATTCTCAGTCATGATCAGGGCATCAGCACTTGAATATAACGTGATTTTCCAGCCTGCTTCTATACCAAATACTTACCTAAACTCAAAGTGAATTTTTGAGACTGTGTCAATGCTGCTTCCTTCGTGCATGTTTAGAGATCCTCATGACACTCAGTAAAACTGACTACAGTTCTCCTTTAAATATTTCTCTATGATGCACATCAAAACAACTGGCCATTCAGAGATCTTTGCCTATTCCTGCTCCCCACACCTCACATAGTTCCCTTCTTTCTTATTTACTACTTGATGCTCAATAATTTAAGCCTTTGAAGGAGAAGGCATCTTAGCCTTGTAATTACTTAACACAAATGTTCTGATCAAGGACTATCCAAACACTGTAATACGACTATATTATTCATATCATAGGTAGAATCATTAACAGTCATTAACCAAATTGTTTATTTGCACTTTTGAAAGAACAGTCTGTTTTGAAAGGATATAGTGAAGCATATCTGTAATGCTAAGACTCAAGTGAAAGTCACACTACAAGAAAAATGAAAAAAACTTTGACAGTATCTGTAATTGTCCAATTCAGCACACAGTTTTCCTAAGTTGTAAACATTTTTCTTTAAGTTTTACAATATGAAGAATACTTGCTCTTGAACTTTATTTACATGCAGGCTGCTCTACACTGAAGTTGTTTAAACAATCAGCTGTATTCAATTCTAGCTAAGACAGAAGGGTGTCAAAGAAAAATGAGTTAGCAATTCCAGCTATTTTCATTGTTTCCCATAGACTATGCAACGTGTTTAAGTATTTAAAAATGGAACGTTTTAAAAAAAGCTTCTAACAAGGTGGCAGGTGAGATGCCATTTTTTCTTTGCAGTTGCAGAGCAATTGCTTAATACAACTAGTTTTACTCAGAAAAAAGATCTTTCAATGTGAAGAACATCTGTAAAACCCAATTTCTAGACAAACCAAACCATATTCTTATCCCCTTGTAATCACAATACAATCTTCCATGTTTATTCCAGCACAAAATACAACTTGCAATTCAACTTCTCAAAATAATGCTGTAAAAGTCACTTTCCTTTTTACACTAACAGAAAAGATAATAAATGACGCAAGGGAAAAATACATAAAATTTACACAAGAAATTTAGTGGAGACTGACTAAGAGAACAGGACGTCTAAGTGAAGACATTACTACCTGACCACCTAGAACAAAGCTACAGCAATTCAAGATGCTGGTGCTTTCAGAATAATTTTATCTGAACTGCCTAGGACAATTTAAGTTAACTGATTTTGCACTGGAACAGCGGAGAATGAGTTACTTCTCATTTACTTTTTTTAGATGGTGGGTTGCAGTGAACAATTCTGATATATTTGGTATCCTTTGGTATCCTTTCTGTAACATCTGTCGAATAACCATTCAGATACCAATAAGAGCAAGTTCTAACAAAGTTTTCAAAGCAGCAAAGTGGTTTGTAATTTAGCAGAATAAGAGTTTTTGATATGTCAGGATACACATATCTTCTTACTGTAAAATCTTAATTTCTAAGAAGTTCAGGAAAATACTAACATTTTTCTACTTCCACATTTGTAATGCAAGTATGACTTAACTTCCCTTATATTTTCATCCATGCCTAAAAATTAAACTTGGAAACTAAGGAGAAGAACAAAGAAACAAGTAAATATATGTCAAATAAATATAACTAAGACCAGAAACGGTAAGTAATGTTTTCTGAAATCTGTGACAGTGAAAAAATGTCTACAATCAAGAGATTTGGAGAAGAAATTTTAACAAGCAGCAGCAAGAGCAAACATACAGAGAACTCAACATCCTCTGTAATATAGTGAAACTCCTTAAAATTCTAGATACTTCTTTAATGTTGGAATGAAGTAAGGGTTTTTGACCACCTCAGCTAAACCCCTAAGGGGCTACTTTATCAAGCAGTTACTAAAATATTTCATCAGAATGATAACGAGAAAAACATGATGGGTCCCAATATTACAACTCCTATGAACGAATTCCAGTAATTCAAAGTAATTCAAAGGATTTTCTGTCTGATCACAATGCATCTACAATAGTTTCGGAAGCTCATCTTCTTTTCTCACTAAAAATTTGTTCAGAAATTCTCTCGGGAGTGCTAGTATTCCAGTGCGTCATTCAAGAACACTTCCATCAAAATACACATTGCCACTGTTTGTCTTTCAAGCCTATTACTTTTGACAGTACAGCTTACACCAATTTCCAGAGGAGATCATTTTATTTTGAAACAATTCTTCAAAAGCTTTCCTTTCAGATATCTTCAGAGAGATAAAACAGAACATATGAATCTATTTCAAAAGCACCTCATTTAATACAACACTTACTTGTGCAGTTTCTGTCATTTTTTGTTCAAAATCAGATTTAACTGCAGCATATTTCTCCACGTACAGTTTATAGGTATCTGTAGCTTTCTTCGATTTAACTGTTGCCTATAGATTAGTACAAAAAATGTCAAATGTCACACACACAATTTAATCCAAGGTTTATAATGTCACTATTAAGTGAAAGCCTAAGATGATCTAAGAAAACACTGAGATGTATTGAAACACTAAAGTATCATAACAAATTTTTACCACAAAATAACGTAGATTCAAGCTATTAGAGATTTCTGGTTTAAAACTTCTCATAAGCCATGTAGAAAGGCAACAGAACAACTACCTAACTTAAATCCTTTCTCCCTATCATCTAAGACTAACTTCTAACACACTTACTTTTAAATCAGTATTTCAAAGCATGTATTACTGAAATTAACTATTTACATGATATGTCAAATATATAGAAAAACAGGAAGAAAGCCAGGATAAAATTCAGAGTAAACAGTTACTAGTGCAGCTCTGAAAGTATCAAATGCTTTTGGCTTTGTTTATTTAGAAGGTACAGTTCTTTGTTAGAAGTGAAAGAAGGAAAATAAGAAACGTGGAAAAATAATGAAAACAGATTAAGAGAAGATATTTCAACATGAAATTTATGTAGAATATACTGATGGGACAGGTTCATGCAGCTCAGACTTGTTTAAAGTAGTACTTTCTGAATTCATAAGGTACCGATTTTTTTTTTCCCCATCATTTGTTGGTAATTAACCAAATCTTGTCTGTGTACGTTATTTTCTTAAAAGACAAAAGAAAATATAGGAGAATCCCAGAATTACATAGACAGGAAGACAACAAAGTGATTCACTCTGGTAAAAGAAGTTACTTTCAAAGTTTATAGTACAATATGGGATTAAGGTTTTTTGAGCCCTTGAAATTGCAATTTCCAAGTTAGAAGCCAAATATTATTCTCATCACCTTTTTGCTGGCTTCTTCTTTCAGAATGCCTTTCTTTGCACTGAAATTTCTCCCTAATTTTAACTAATTTTAATTCCCAAATCACTTTCAGTTAATGACGCCAGTAAAGACTGCATGTTTACTATTCAAGTTCTGAAATCCTCTTTCAAATGAATTTTATTGCTTCCAGAGAATCAACAGCAACTACTACTCACTCGCAGTGAGTTGCAGAGCTGAGCACTAGCTATAATTTCCCAACGAATCAATACCAACATCTGCAACTTCCAATGAAAAATAACTGAAAATTGTAAGTATAGCATTAGCATTTGTTCACCTGGGGAACCTTTAAAGTTTTTTCTATAAAGTACTATGTAATTGAACTCTGGGACCTTGAGACAAGCAAAATATTCCCTGCCTCTGGTAATACTGTCTGTCTATGAACAGAATCATGTGTTTCGTGTGTTTAAGAGCACCTACAGAAAACAATTATTCAGCAAGGCAGACGAAATGATGAAACATGTGAACATTTCATGATTAGCTCCTAATCTTTTCTGAAAACAGGATGTGTCAATTCTCAGGTACAGCAATTGCTAGAATTCTATTTAGAAGATTAACAGTAACTGAAAGAATAAGAATCAGTCAATAATTTTTTGTCAAGTCACTATAAACAGAGAAGTTAACATGCCAGAGAACAACAGGAAGTTATTACACAAGCTACCACTACCAGTTACAGCAAAATTGCAAGCTTTAGATTCTTCCTTAAGAATCTTCCTTAGATTCTTCAATAAAGTATCTCTCTAAATGTTAAACTTTATGATGAGCTCCTGGCATACTGGCACACATTCCCTGCTCTGCAATAAAGTGACTATTGTACCATTTTGATAAAAATATCTTTCATGTACTGCTAACCATAATAAAACTATCTTCTACTAAAAGAAAAACAAATGAAAGCAATCCTTATCATGTTATTGAAACTGCAAGAGTAAATTTGAATAATGATGTGACAGAGACAATGTGACAGTCACAGTTGCAGGTTCCCAGGAGAAACTTTTTTTGAGGCTTTATCTGGTATCAACCATGCTCTAATTGTTTGGGGGGGGAGGGGGGAGGGGGGTGGAAGTACTCATGGAAGATGTACAAAGCAATAGAAAATTGTCTTCGTTCCTATGATGTTTCCTCTTTCTTTCTTCTGTAGCTAAACCGACATTAGTGAGCCAAGGTTTTCTGTTTGTTTGTTTGTTTTTTTAATTGCTTTTGACAGGACAAAGGATTGCAGTGTTAGATGTCAAGAGCAAGCCTTCTATCAAGTCAACTTTTCCTTCTGAAAAATTTCAATTTATTTGCAATTGCATGCGTTTTCAAAAGACTGCAAGAAAACATCGGCGGTCTCACACAATGCTTACTCATATCCAGATTCCAGCACTGATTGCCATTCAAAACACAAACCAGGAGAAAAAAATAGGTTTATATTAGAGATAAGAACTATCAGAACATGGTCAACTGGATAATTTTTGTCACCAGTGAACCAACACTACTGCTCCACCAAGATAGCAGAAAAAAGGCACTGAGATCATTTAACTAAGAACAGGTTCTCGTACAGATCATACAGCTGAAACAGCAAAAGGCAGAGGTATCAAGATTAAAAAAAGAGAAGACACAGAGACAGGGAAACATAACTACTTTCGCCTACTACTACCTTGTCTCCTCAAAACAGCAAAAAGTCTCATTGTTCCCTGCAGGTGCTCTCCACCCTCTACTCGGCACTGGTGAGGCTGCATCTGAAATGCTATGTTCAGTGCTGGGCCTTTCAGTGCAAGACATACTGGAGCTAAGGGAACCTTCCAACCTCAGCCATTCTGTTGTCCTATGATAGGATGAGAGAGATGCGGCTCCTCAGCCTACAGAAGAGAAAGCTCAAGGGGATGGGATCTCAACAGGGTATATGAAGGTAGGGTGCAAAGCAGACAGAGCAAGGCTCATTTCAGTGGTGCCCAGCCACAGGGCAAGAAGCAACAGGCACAAAGTGCAACACAGAAAACACTTCTACGCTGTGTGAGTGACAGACTACCAGCACAGGTTGCTCAGAGAGATTGTGGAACCCTCTCCTTGGAGATCTTCAAAAGCCATCCAGACATGGTCCTGGGCTACTGGGTCCAGGTGTCCCTGCTTGAACAGGAGGGTTGGATCAGATGACTTCAGAGGTCTCTTTGAACCTTAACTGCTCAGTGATTCTGTGTGTGGATCAAACTCTCCCATGACACAAGGACAGAGCTAAACACAGCACCAGGATATTCATCCCTAGGGGTTTTGGTTCATGTAACTTAAATTAATTCTGAAAGTAACGTTAGCTTGTTTTTTCTTGTCAATGGAACAGACTTCAAATACTTCTATAATTAGCTACTTGGTCTCAGTTGAAAGGACACAAAGGCTCCTACTCCTCAATTCAAAAACAAGTACAGTCATTGAGTTTGCATATTTGTCTAAGAAAACGCATCCAAGAATGTAAAAGATGATGAAACAACCATATGCAATTTCTGTAAAGGATGCTAAGAAAAATTATTATATGATGCAGGTAATCATAGAATAAAGAATTGGAACTGCAGTGAAGTTAGAACAGATAAGGAAGTGTAAACAAAACATAAAAAGGCATTCAAAGTACTCATAAAATAATCATAGTTTTCCTATTTTAACCCTTTCAGAGCACTTTACTTGCTAATATAACATGAATATATTAGATTGACAACATTATGAATTTCGAGAAAGACGTCACATAACTACCTTATCAATTTCTCTTGGTGTTGCTCCTTCCTTTTTCAAACGTTCTTGTTCAAGACATTTTGCATTGTAGTTTTCCTTTGACTTCTGTAATGCCTGAGTTATACTTTGAATGTTTTGCACTGCTTCCAATGTTCCTGAAACTTCTTCCTTAGTCTGCCAAATATTACACAGTTGTCAAAAACAAATAATTTGAATTTCAATGCTTATAAATCTTTGGACATGCTTAAGGAAAAAAAAAAACCAAACGATTACCTTTTTATAAGCTTTAATTTGTTCATCTCCATATTTGTGAACTTCTTTTATTAGCTCTTGTAATCTCCGGACAAGATCCAAGTGGCAGCTTGCTAGTTTTTCTGTTGAGGTTTTGAAAACATCCCAAACTGGTGCAAATGTTCTGGGTTGAGAAAAAAAAATTTAATGCCCATTGGGATTTTTTTCTTTTAAATCAGCTAGACTTTTCTTAATAGTGCTAAAGCATAATGAATATTTTTACAGAAACTGTGTTCCTAAACTGAAACAAACACAACAACTATATGCTATAAATTATGTAGTTTTTAAATCTTGCAGGTGTACAGTAGGTCACTCAGAAAGTAACACTTCCGATTTATTTCCATGGAAACTACAACAGATACAAGGAGCACAAAAACATCTTTTGAGAGGGCAAATTACAAAACACTCTTTTTCAACACAGTTACCATAGTAAGTTACACATTTTCACCAGTGATGAACAAAAGCCTGAATGCCACACTTGCAAAAATCTGCAACAGCGGCGGTGACCCACTGTCACTACTGCTGAAACACCCCAGTCACTGTGCTCACATCTACTGTTTGGTCTCTATAAATCTTCAGTAAATGTTGATGAACATCAACAGATTGCCCCTGTGCTGCCATCCGTCACACAGCAGCAAAATCTAATAGAATATAGGTGGGAAGGTTCAGCCCTCTACTGCCATACCACCAACATCCACCCCAATGCCATTGTCCAGCATGATAAAATAGGAGGCATTAATTTTGGAGCATCCTTCATAGTATCTAATAACTTTAGTACTTTCTGGTTTTTACTCTATACAGTCAACAAAGGTAAAATGTGCCTACCTGTTTTCTGACTAAAGTTGCTGCAAAATTGGTACCATTTTATAGCCTTTAAAACAATGATGTTCCTATTCAAACGCAGACAGAGAACTTTCAAAAAGCAGCAACAAATCACCAAACTGTTCTCTGATAACTCCATATTCTACCTCTGATTACTACAAATAAAAAGAAACTTCCTCTCATCTAGGAAGTCTGAGCTATTGCTCATATTTCTAACAACAAAAACAAACTTCCCATCCATTATTCCATTTTATTCTTTCATCAAACATAACTCAAATACAAAATTTTATCTCATCAAAATTATTTGGTTTAGAAGCATACATTAAGTTCTTTACTATGTCTGAAAAGAACTTAACTTGGAAACCCTGAACACACAGGAGCAAACAGCCTCTCTATGATTGGTTAGGGCTTTCTAATTTTTTTTTTCCTCAGTGAATAAAGAACTGCACTGTGTTTTGTTCTTGTCACGGCTGCACAACATCTTGCATCGTTGCACAGTAGTTGAAGGACTAACAATGATTTTTAAAGGTGACAAAGTTGTGCTGCCTTCAACATCATCAATAAAATATTCAGAATCAAACTGGTTTCTTACCACGTACACAACTATTTGTCTTCCATATACACTTACCCTAGCTGTGTGTAATTGCTTGCTGATTTGGCAAGTTTTGTCATTGATCTTGAATATGCTTCCTCTATTGTAGCCCTGTCAAAGAAAATGATCAAAAGCATAATTTAAATTCTGAAGGTATCTGAAGACAGACTAACATAGATTCTAAAGATTCCAAGCATAGGAGTTTCTCCTTCAGCTGAAAATTACTCCATTTTAACAATCCCTCAAAAACTATATGCAGAAACATCCAGGTATGTAAACAAACAAACAAAAATAAATCTGAGAACACTGTGACAGAACACTGAAGTGAACTGAAATAAGTAAAATTGAAGGACCTGAGACTTGCAAGATATAACATTTTCCTTCTTACATCCTCTGTGTTTCTTCCTGTCTTTAACATTCTTTGGTAACAGTGAGAACGAAGTCATATAACGATCAGCTGCCTAACGCTAGACATTTACAGAACAAAAAGATCAAATGCATTTGATCATCATAAATGGAGTCTTATCTTGCCTTTACAGTTTTAGGAGGCTTTTTTTTTTTTTTTTTTTTTGTATTTTTAGGTTCTTTGCAGAGTGGCTTTTAAATTTGAGAAGCAGTGATTTAATATGCAGCAAAATGTACTGTGTTCCACTGTTTAGGCTTACTTTTTAAAGAATGATCTCCATATATCCTGATTTCTTCAGGACAACCTCTTCCCTACAGAATTTTCGCTACAGTTTTTCTGCACTCATAACCATATTTTTACTTGTCTTTTGGAGATTCAAAATCCAGGAGTCAATATCAATTTCCTCCTTTACTGGCACAATTGCCATGGAGTGTAGTCACCCAACATGTAACAGCAGTGACTCCTTTCAAGTCTTCCTGCCATCACCTTTCCTCACCACCCTATTAACTAAGGTTAACATACACACTGCTTAAATTTTCCACCCGAAATCAATATTCAATGATTACGAACATATGAAACAAAATAGTAATAGTCACCTGAAAGTTTGAAGGCTGTACTTAAATCTACTGAACTTTAAAATGACAAGCTGAACAGTTAGGCAACCATCCTGAAGTTGTAAAATGCAGCAATTCAACTACATTTTAAATCTCAGTCACAAATAACTACGAATGTATCCACCATATGAAATAAAACATCTCGTCCTGTAAGTAGATGTAAGTATTCTTGATGATCTGAAAATGTTGGTAAATTTCACTCACTGAAACAAGCAGTGATACAGACATGAGCGAAGCACTGATGGTTTTTTAATTACTATAATGAATGGTGATAAATCACCAACAACAGCTCAGTGCTTTTACTTTCTTTCCTTTCCTTCAGAACAACTAGCAGAATACTTCAGCAAACAACCTTCACAAGCTGGAAGTTATGAAACGTGCTACGTGTTATCAGCACATAACAAACGCTAACAACCAAAAGATGCTACTGACTAATGGGGCATATTTATCTTCAGTTGTATCCACTGACTTCCTAGAGCTCTCTCTCGCCGTAACAGACTATGAATGCCTGTTTAAATTAATTTTCACTTCTTAAAGATCTGTCTTTGCTTGGGATATATTTAAGCATTTAAACTGAAATGGGAATAGGCGCATTGCCAATTTCTTCCAATTAAGGAGCTTCTTTTTACATTTATAGACAGCTGGTGCAGAAAAACATTTGAAAGACTTCTGAAGAAAACCCAACACAATACCTATTTAGTTCTTAGTTGAACTTACATGTAAACATCTTAGGTGCTAAATACACACAAACACCATTGATAATTTACCTACCAAATCTTCCCTGCATGTAAAATCCGTATTTTTATATAAAAGAAAACTGTGGGCCAACACAATCTTTGTATGTTATCACTTCTTTAAAAGCAAAACGCTTATGCACTTTACCAGAATAGAGCAAAGATATTTATCTTTCAGCAGAAATATATCTTGCACCATCCAAGATTTAGAAGCAGTGAGCAGATTGCCTGCCGCACAGTTCACTCTGTCAGACATACTTCTGAACCACATCAAAAGCAGTGACTGTTAATTACATAAGTCTTTCCCATTCACATTTTCAGAATATTTGGTCAAAAGGCAGTAAAGAATTGTCCAAAGATCCAACTGACCCAGTCTTTAACAACTTCATCACTAATAAATACTCAAAAGGAAAAATGAAACCATGAAACAACAGTGTTGAAAAGTGAATTAGTAAAGATAAACTAAACACAGCCTAGAAAAATTATCTAATCCTAGCAAGCCTGGAGTTGCATTTGTAATGATGAGTGAAGTGCCCACATGGATGAAGTCCAAGAGCCACACGGGTCTTAGCAGTTTCCAGTGTGTCTCACCAGGTCCAGGAACCAGCAAAGGTGGAAACATTTTGTTCCTAGGAATGTACAGGGTTTTAACAGCAGATACAGTAAATACACATTCTTTGAAATGAGCACATTTCTAACATGTTTACAACAGTCAGCTACTTAAGTTATTATAAGTATCATCAGTAATTCACAATCTGTGAATTACCCAGGAATTTTCAGTTTTCATACTCCTGTCTCTCCACATTTGAATAAAACTGGCTAACATGTTCAAAAGGAGGGACAGAGTACAAACGTATAAGTTCAGTTTTCATAGGGAAGAGCCCAGAAAATCAGGTGCAAGCAAGGCATAAAAACACTACGTGCAGAAGGCACCTAATGACTCTTGCCCATCTGTCTTCATATTTTTAGCAGAAAAGATAACAGCGAAGCAATACTCTATATTCTGCAGAGGAAGGGAGGGAATAGATAATTCTATGCAAAATCTCTTAACTACTTTGCAACAAAGAAAGACACAGAATATAAGCAAGGTAAGAAGTTTAGAAAGAAAAGAATGATTTTTAGTAAATTCACAGGAAAAACATTTCACATAGGTAGACTGAAGATGTCACAAATTTCAGTTTCAGGCTCTCTAAACATTTAATACTAAGCATCAGCAGACAATGGAAGAGCAACTGACATCATCTACCTGCACTTGTGCAAAGCTTTTAACATTGTCCTGCATGACATCCTGGTAGCTAGATCAAACGGATTTCAGTGAATAGACCACTTGCTGGAAAAGGAATTGGCTGGATGGTTAAACTCAGAGAGTTGTGGTCAGTGGCTCAAGGTCCAAGTGAAGACCGGTGACAAGTGGTGCTCCTCGGGGATACTTTTCAATATCCTTTGTGACATTGAGTGCACACTCAGCAAGTCTGCAGATGACACCAAGCTGAATGGTACAGGTGACACACTAGGGAGAAGGGATGTCATCCAGAGTGATCTGGACAGGCTTGAGAGGAGGGCCCATGCCAACCTCATTAAGTTCAACAACACCAAGTGCGAGGTCCTGCACCTATGTTGGGGTACTCTCAAGCACAAATCCAGTTTGGGTGGGAAATGGCTTGAGAGCAGATCTGAGGAGAAGGATTTGGAGGTGTTGGTTGATGAAAAATGTAACATGAGCCAGAAACGTGCTCCTACAGCCCATAAAGCCAATTGTATCCTGGGCTGCATCAAGAGAAGTGTGACCAACAGGTTGAGGGAGGTGATTCTGCCCCTCTACTATGCAGTGAGACCCCACCTGGAGCACTGTGTCCAGCTCTGGGGCCCACAGTACCAGAAGAGGACATGGAGCTGTTGGAACAGGTCCCGAGGAAGACCACGAAGATGATCAGAAGGCTGGAGCACCTCCCCTACGAGGACAGACTGAGAGAGCCGGTGTTCTTCAGCCTGGAGAAGAGAAAGTTCTGGGAGACCTCATAACAGCCTTCCAGTACCTGAAGGGAGCCTACAGGAAAGCTGGGGAGGGACTCTTCATAAGGGTATGCTGTAGCAGGACAAGGAGAAATGGCCTTAAAATGGAAGAGGGTAGGTATAGACCAGTTATCAAAAAGAAATTCTTTATCGTGAGGGTAGTGAGACACTGGAACAGGCTACCCAGTGAGGCTGTGGATGCCCCATCACTGGAAGCATTAAAGGCCAGGCTGGATGAGGCTCTGAGCAACCTGGTCTATAGAGGTGTCCCAGCCTATAGCAGCAGGTTAGAACTAGCTGATCTTAAAGGTCTGTTCCAACCTAGACCATTCTATGATGATTCTATGATTAGCACAGTTTGACATCTCTCTAAAGTAAGGCTGCACCACAATCCTGGCTTTATAATGTATTTTCTGAATGAAAAGGTTCTCAACACACAAAATTCCTTGGTTTGTGTACAGCTTTGGTCAGGAGCTTCACAAAAGGCCTTGGAAGTTCACTGGTTTCTTCTTAGCAGAAAGTCTTTTGTCATTTTCTCCACAACTCACTGTGAAACTATGCAAATAAGATTGTCACTAAGTACCTGCCAGATGCACAGTGGTGACATTTCTTTGCAGTCATTTCAGGCATAAATTGGAATTTTGATGACAAATTGCAGAAAACAAAGGATGTATTTTGGACAGCTCTTACTGCAAGAAACCTTTACTAAAAGAAGTTCTCAGCTAGCCTCTTACAAGATTTTTCCACATGCCATCTGGTGTCAGTAACTGAATAAGACAACATTTGGAACCAGACAGATCCTCCAGAATGGAAATTTTTGTATCCTAAGTAGCAGTCATTAGTCTTCTTTGTAAAATAAGACTGAAAACAGCATTAGCTCATCTGTTTAGGAAGTTGTCACATGGGCAGATTTCATTCCTGTCCCTTCTGTCCCATAAAGAAGAATCTGTTTTATTTTCTGCATATATTTTCTTATAATAATATATTACCGCTTCGAAGAAAAAAACAAAAAGGAAGGAAGGAGAAGGGAAGGGAAAGAGGAAGGGGAATAGAATTTACTTTCTTAGCACTGTAATCCTGAAAGGACAATTTTTTAAGATCATACCGGCAATTGCCAAAAATCTAGTTCTAATATCCACGGTCAAAAACAACAGGTAATGACAAACTGAATTGAAAGCCACAAACCACATAATAAAGACCCAGAATCAGCAAGGATGAATACCTACCTTTCTCTAATAAAGTCTGCTAATTCTTTTGTTGACAAATGTCCATGCTTCATGTTATGATAGAGAACGTCAAAGCCATTGTTCCTTTCCCCCTGAAGATTAATAAAAAGAAAGCAGAACCATGAATCATAAAATGCTAAAGCAATCACAGAATGTAAGCATAGAACCTATGTATTTTAACAACTCGGCATGTTCATTAACAGAATGATTTCTGAATGATTTCTAACAGTTCAGCTTCTTACCAACTGTTGTTAGTTCTTTTCAATCCCTCACATGTAAAATGAACAAAATTAACCTCAGCAGCCTCTACAACCTTTCTAGTGACAACTCTTTTATCCAGTATTTCTCGGCTATATTCAGAGCCTTTCTCTATTTCCAGAGGTCTTGTATTCTTTTGACTCCCATCTTCTCAAACGCATACTTGACACTGTGCACCCTCTTCATTCTCCCGTATCTGCATTATTTTCACAAGAACTAGAATTCAGACTTCGGGATCACACGGTATTCCACCTATTTAATTCTGCACACATTGTAGGTTTTTGTTCGTTTTGTAAAAATGAGTAAAAATAACAAATTTCTTCAATTTTAGGGATATCTTCTCTTTGCCTTAAGCTTAGTTGTAAAATTTAAATTATTTTCCACTCAATAAGACATATCTCACTGTTAGAACTGAGACACTGCCCTGAACACTGATTAGTAAACTGAGCCAGCTTTTCGCCTTTGGCACTAAGTGAACTTCCCCTGAGCAGGAGAAAGCAACAATAGGAATTAAAAGGAAGGCGAGGCAAGGCATGGTAAAATAGCACAGAAACTATAAGACTTTTCCTGTCAACTATCCATTCCCCTCCTCCCTCCCAAATGCCTCAGATCCATATCACTGCTGCTAAAAACACAGTAGTATGCCCTTGGGAATGCTGCGTGCATGTTTAGAGTGGAATGGAAAGAAGGATTGAAGTAAAATCCTGGACTTTTCTCAACAGAAGCTCTATATTTCCAGTAAAGGGAGCCCATGATCTGGTCATAAATCTCTCCCATCTTTTCTGTACTTTCTGTTCAGAAACAAAATCAGTACAGTCTTAAGACCAGGGAAGTTATGCAGCTGAAAAATAAAGCTGGCAACTAAAAATAAAGGTCGGTGATGCAGATCATGAGGAGGATGTGATCAGCTGCGCTGTCACAGAAAAAGTAGGAGTGAGAAGGCAGCAGTGGGGAGCAGGCAGCCTGAGCAAGTGGCAGCAGCCGCAGGCAGACGGAGGAGCCTTGCAACAGCAGGCCCACGTCTGAGCAGCCTCAATGGCACCGGATCACACATCAATCTTATCATTAACACAGCAGGTTCTCGTAAAGGACACCAAACATTTACACAGATTCACAGTCAACAAATGACTGAAAGGTAATTTCGTTCAGATTACTAGTTGGGATTTTTTGCTTACTTCTTCCAAGCACTGGGGGAAACAAGCAAAAGCCAAGGAAGCAACAAGAATAAACACGTACAAAATGACTGCTCCTAAGGCTTCAGTAAACTGTAACCTGAAAATGTTCATCAAAATGCAGATCAGTTTAGCATAAAACCAATTAGAGAAGTCTCTGAAAAGTGCAAGCAGAAGAGAGAACTCAAAAAATATAACCAACTTTAACAGCCATGTACAGAGTGTCTTTTTTTAAGTTAGAAAAATAAAAGGTCAGGAACAGCAGCTAGTAGGAAATGAGACATTTTTGAAAATGTGCTCTTCAAGTACCAGCCTAATCACAGCAATTTATTAAACTGTTTGGAGTAACTAATGGTAAGAGATAAAGCGCTACACAAACAGATTTTTAAACACCTTGTGCTTGTGGAACGCAACTAAGAACTGAAAACAAGCTAATTAGTTTTGAGGAAGCCAGATACCCGCACCTGCAAGAAGTAAACAGTTTCACCCTTATCTAACTACATTTTCTTGCAGTTTGAAGCTCAGAAGAATTCTGATTACTGGCACAGTAATATGTACTTTATTAGCTTAGAGCATTTACAAAACCTAAATCCCAACGAACGCCATCACATTACAAAAATACTGGAATACCTCTGTAATTAAGATCTTGTCGATATTTCCAATTAGAAACAAAACAAAATTCTAATTTAACAGTTATAATGCTAAACTTGAAGGTAAGCATTTATGAATAAGTACTAAGCACATTCTCCAGAAGACATCATGCAGGAATTCGTCCATGATGGCATGTTTTCTCTTTCCTTTTAATGCCTTCCTCCTACCTAAACCAACAAATTGAACAAAAGGTGCTGCACAGACTGCTGCTTAACATTTAAGTACGGCTGTTCACAATGTTTTTCATCTTTCCTATACTGCAGCTCCATAAATTTCCTGTGAGTTTAGAAATACAGGAAGGGTAGCACAGCCATGACCCTACCTTTGGCTGCAGCTTTCCTGAGTGCTGACAATCTATCAAAAATAAAACTGTGCAACCTTTGCAGAATTGCATGATCCAGAATAACCAATTCCCATCAGGAACTTGCTCCCTAAGTATAAATAAAGCTTAAACTACAGACGCGAGGAAACTCGTTTTTCCACTTAAATAAAGGTTTCTAATCAGTCCTCATTCAGTTCCTGCTCTCATGATGAATAGTTGACAGCACAACAGAAAACAGCAATAGTTTCCTAAATTAAAAAAAAAAAAGCCACATCTTTTATGCATTATAAATAGTCATCAGAGGCTAAGAGTCTATATGAAAAGTTTACTATCGTTTAAAAGAAGCAGCAAGTCCAAAGCAGGCTCTGTGGAGGACTAGGTCCTATGTGGTTTAAGTCAAACACAGCAAAAGATGTTTCCACTTGCAAATACAGGCGCAGCAAGTCTTACCAATATCAGGCTCCACCTATAAGCACAAACACCTAGACTTTGAAACTGCTAGATTAATTACAAGTGATATATATATTCAAGACTTCTGAAAGTCAACCTGAAGACAATTCTCTAATTATAATATCTTTTAACTATATCTGCAGACATGCGCTTACCTCTGTGACATAAAGAATGCTATCTCAGTGAATAGAGAAGACACTGTTCTCCTTAGGAAAGCTGTAAGACCTACCCACAACTGCTTCATTTAGTGGCTCTTTTTAAGAACGGAGCCTGAATATTCACGTACTGAGCATTACAGCAAAAGTTCTGTGCTTAGAATGGAGGTGTACGCTGCTGCTAACAGGAAACAAATGTATCTCAGTTAACAAAAATCTAAGGATGTATGCTCCACATGCTTACATGCATACACACATATACATGCCATCAACAGTGTTTCCGCTTTGCTTGCTTTTCCTCAACAACCCGCGCAGATGTTGCATAAAACTGTTATGTATAGCCAATTCTTCTTCATTAAATGTTTCCACCTGCTCCTTCCTGATGCCAACAGTAATAGCTAGGGTCAGTAGAATCCCAGCTTGAACTGTCTTGAAAACAAATAAACGCAACAGACAGCAGAAGGAGTCGTGACCTGCTCAGGAGCAATGACACTCACCCACTGCTAAGACAGACTGTCCATCAAATCAGAGGCAGATTCCTCTACGAGCTAGACCTCAAAAAAAGGGGAAACTCTTTTGTCATGTGCAATATATTTTTTCAGACCATGTGCAAAAGAGTTCCAGATCAGTCTGAAAACTATTCTGAATTTCATTTTGGGAGTAAAATACCATCTGTGGAGAATGACCCCATTGTTTCTCAAAAGAAGATAACCGCAAAACTGCGTAGGACAATGTGAAATCGAAGTGGTCCTCTATTCATACAGACCCCACTTAACTACCCCATTTAATTACCCCATTTAATTAGGTGAAAGTTTACTTCTTTCACCTCCAAGCTAACAGAACTCTCTCCTCAGAAGCTGGTGTTCTTGTTGGTTTCTCATTTTACGCTGCCATAAGAGAGCTCTCTTAGATAGAGCATAGTGTCTCTTCACAGTAAGCTGTAAGAGAAAGCAAGACTCCAAATACAAGGAAACATTTTGCTTAAGCCCATAACGAGGAGTCCACAACTGAGCAATTGTATACAAAGTAAACTGCAGCCACAGAACCCCATGCAAACAACCATTCCATTTCCCTCCACAGAGCGCTATCTGCAACGATTTTCTCGTGGAAATGAAAGTAACCCTGTCAGCAACTGTGAAGTCAGAATTCAGCATTTCCAGGACTTGTGCATAACAGGAAACACATTACAGGAACTCCGTTTTACTAAGCTGCTTGATAGACCTAGAAAAAATCTTAAGAATAAATGATTCACTGCACATACGGATAATCCTGAATTTAAAGTCTTCCTTTCATGAAGTAGCCAGTAATTTCTGAGCCATCTGTAGCAGTGTTTAACTCCCACGTTTCAAATCACATTGTCTAAGTGCAAGCTTTGTCTTCTTTGGACTGGAAGTGTTCAATGTTAATGCGTATAACTGTATCAGTGTAAAAAGCTAATATGCTTTACCGTAACACCCTCTCTTTACCTTATGTAAACAAATGCTTCCCAACTATTCATGCCATAAAGTTTTCATGACTAGTTAGATATTTACTAGTGGTTAAGCCAGTGTGAGAAGTAAGAAGAAGATGGCTGCAAATGCTGCCTTTGTGGCAATACTGAATAGGTAAAACAATAAAAGGCACATGCGGAACTTTTTTGTTTAGATCAAGCTTTAGAAACTTGATAAGACAAGATCGGACAAAGTTTAACTTTTTCAGACTAAGCCCAGAAAGAGAATTAACCGTTTCCACCTGTGCTTTTACAACATCCATTAGCAGTGGCTGAATATGCATAACCATCCTTCAACCCCATTCGAAGTTATAAATGTGATCACATTACTTCAGCACACCGAAGGAATGGAACAAAAAGAAAACCACACTTTTAACTGTAAGTTATTCAAGTCATAATCAACTCATTCCTCTCTTACAGGCAGATTTAAAGAAAGGCTTTGTTTTTTGAGTTTGGGTCTTTAATTTGTTTCAGATTATCTTGAAGCAGGTAATCTCCAAATTAAGTTTCCAAAACCTAGTTTAATCATACAACTGCATATGGTAAACACGATAGATCGATGACATACAATGAATAAATGCTAAATGGGGAAAAA